TTTAAATTATAGTTATATTAATTTAAAATAAGTTCATTTCACTGGAAAAAAAAGAATAATCACAAATTTTCCAATCAATAATGTTTTAAACTACTAAAATGATATATTATTACATTATCATTTAATTATGGAATAATAATTTTGTTAATTTTTTTGTAATTATTTATATTTATAGTATATATTTCAATTTTAGGAATAATGTTGTATCAAAAATGTGTTTTTGTCCTCTCATCTTGGAAAATATAGGTTTTTGCCACTTTTTGCCAATTTGCTTGGCAAAAACCTGTTTTTGCCAGGACGGTCTTGCCAACCCTGATTTTACCAACCCTGATTTTAAGATAAAAAAAATTTAAGAATAAAAACATTAAAATAACAAGTCACAATGGAAAAGTGCTAAATGCAAATTTGTCTTATGTAAGAAATTTAAATAAAAAGTTATAAATCAAAAATAAGCAAAAGAAAATTTTTAAGACATGTATGTTAGCAAAAACAGTACTTCATCAGGAGACGTACTGTCTGCTAACACATTGCACATGCACGAGCAGGCAGCCGCTGATGAAGTGCTGTTTTTGCTAACATATTTTTAGACTTTCTTTTTTGCTTTCCTTTGGTTCCAAACTTTTTATTTAAATTGTTTGCCAAAATATAAATCTAATACTAAGTCTTATACTATCTAATAAATTTTCTCTCTGATACTAAGACCTATAACATTTGATCATTATATGGATAAATTTTTATTAATAAAAAATTATGTTTAATAAATAATGTACAAAAAATAATGTTTGAAATTTATCGTGGAAATGAAATTATCCTGGAAAAAAAGTTTGTAAAACCTGTTTGTTTTTTTTTAATAAAAAAAGCCCAGTTTATTTTGGTTTTTTTCTTATTGACCCAGGCTTTTTTTAGAAAGATTTAAAAAATTTTCCTTGAGTATTTACGAGACAGGAGAATCCATTCGCGGCAAATTTTCTTTACTTCCATAAGCAATTTAAAACATTAAGTTTTGAAAAATTGAGTAAACCATAATATTTTAAACTCAGAAATTTTTTTAAAAACAAATATCAAAATGCAAATTATGAGAGGATTACTTAGGATTACATTGTAGAAAAGTTCGACCATAATTTGCTTTCATTTTAATATTTTGAAATTTTTCTTTTCAACATCTGAAAAAGGGCCTACGCAAGGTATCTGAACTCATTTTTTCCTACTTAAAATTTTAATATAACAATGGGGGGATGAAACAGAATTTGCATTGAAAAGTTTTTCCGGTATAGCATCCTCTTAATGAAACTGCAGGATTTGTTTCTAAAATAAAAGTTAAATATTTGGTAATTATTTATGTTTTGTAACAATGTTATCATTTTTTGAGAGATTTTAAGTTGCTACCTTACTGTCTTTATTTATTAACAACAAACGGACAGATACAAATAAAATGACTCAATTAAAAAATCACATTTTTTATTGCACTGATACAGGTTTAGTTACAGAGACAATTGAAATAAAACTTAATCCTTTTAGAGACCATTACGAAAACAATTTTGTTTGTTAAATTCACATTCAACTCTTCGTTACTATAAAATTAGTTACTGTAAATTTTGCTTTTTAAATCGACCCCGACGAATAACGAAAAAAAGCAAAGATCTGATATGAAACTTGCTATCTCGCTGTTTTAAGCATAGTAAGATAAAACTTAACTTTTAAGTATCTGCGCACACAATCCAAAAGTATCTGCAAACTCATATTTTTTTAGTACATACTGCTTTCATAACATTACAAAAACGACAAACATTTAACTATTTAACATATTTAATTAGTCCTGACAAAAAAAAGGAAGGAAAAAAAATTATATATATATACATGCACATTAACATTCAGAACATTAGAGAAAAATTAATATAAGTAGTTATAAACAAAAATGAAATCAAAGAACTGCAGCGATGTTAACAGTAAGCATACCATAACTGGTCAAAAGACCAGTTATGGTATATTTAATGTTAAAATCACTGCATTGTAAAGTGTTGGTACGTTTACTGTTAATTATTATTATATTAAGAATCAAGGAATATTAATAATTTTGCCCATGTAGTTCCTCACCGCGAAATCCATATTTAACTTTTTGTGTTAAACTTGGGCAAATATATTTCATTAGCAAACAAAATTACATTAAAAGATTTCTTACTGTCACTATTTTTGTTATAAAGCGATAATCATGTCCAGTTGTTTGCTCGTCCGTAACCATGGGATCACTAATTTTTGGGCTAAACGAGCAGTTTTATCTCTTCTTTTCAGTAGAAGCATCCATACAACTAAATTATAATTATGCTGTCCTCTGCTTCTTTTATTTTGTGCAAACTTTTCATTTTTTTGTATGAATACTTTTTTTAATATTACAAAAAATATTAAGAAAGTATCTGCAAAAGCTGAGAATCTTTTCTAATGTATCCTCTTAAGACATGCATGCGGGATTCTATACCTAACAATGTTTATAAGTGGTATAAGTTGACCGCTGAAAGATACAAATATAAAAATTCTTTAAATTAAAAAAAATTATTAAGTCTGCAAAATTTTTCCGAAGTTAAAATCAATGCATATTGATACATTTGCCCTTAAATAAAGATGCATAACGTTTATTGAATCCAACATAGAAGATGTTCTAGAATCGTTACGGTACCTCTTAAAAGTTTTCATAGTGCTATATATTTTGAAATACTGATGAACAAATTATCTTGACTTTTCTTCTTAATTTTTTTAAATATAATTTAAAGTGTTCTAAAAAAATCATTACTTAAAGGTAATATGATGAAAGATTTATAGCTAATTGTATATATATCACATTAAAATAGTTTTTGAAGTGGGTAAATTGATACAGTGTTATTCATATCTATCTAATTGTATATAGTGCATCGATATTTCACGATCCATTAATATCTGACTGTTTTACAGGTGTATAAGTAGCCCCCCGATTTATGTAAAATTTTGGGTTTTGAAAAGCCGACTAAAACACCAGGATATCCATTGCTTAAAATTAAATTTTAAAGATTTCAATTACGTTAAAACACTAATTAAAAAAATGCAAGAAAATTTTCCCTCCCTGGACCAAGGAATGAATATTGAATATATATTGAAATAATATTGAAATAATATGAAGTTCCCTGATATGTAAAATATCTGAATAGCAAAATCCCAAAAATGATTATAAATTACTCAGCATTGGACAATTTAAATATTCATACATATAAATGTGAATTGATGCAATAATAAAACAGAATGAAGAACAACAGTAAAAGTAAATTGAGAGAATAAATGTTACCATATTAGAATACATAATTCAAATACACAAAAGTATATCTTTAATTGAATGTAAAGAACATAAAAATCAATGCACAATTTGGTACGGAGAATTTCATACAAAATTTCTAAATAAAGATTACCAAAATAAAGATATTAGTCACTTAAAAAAATATCTATTTTATTAATTATGTACATTTCGCCAAAATGTTACACAGGAATGGACATTATTGTAAGCCTAGCTTAAAATACAACTGAAGAAAATAGGTTTAGAGAATAAATATTTTAAAAATTAAGTCCAATAACTAGAATATCAAAAACCAGTATTTATTTATGAGGATTGAAAATAATGAATACAAATTAGAAGTAGAATTCAATTTTAAATGTCTGAAAATCGAAAAAATTTAAAATAAATTAAGATATAACTAATATTTAATAATTCAGTTCATTTATGCACATAACCCAACCTACACATAAAACAAGCAACTTACCGATCTGCCCGATTTAAGATGCAATTATGAAAAATATATTTCAGATAAGATTTTAATATTGCACAGTAAATTGCATATGAATAAACTTTAATTTTATTATTACATAAATTGCTTTAAATACAATAGAGGAACGTGATGTATTTTGATGTGGAGAGTTTTTTAATATCCAAGTAAAAATTGATAAATGCATGTTGAATAAAGATACAAACTCAATCTTTATTATTAACTGATAGAACAACAATTACATAATCTTTTCTTAATCAGGTATATACAAAATAATAAAGACATTTTTTTTCTCCTCATTAACTTAAATAAATCCAGTGTAAACACTCATTTTGAATATGTAAAAAAAACGTTCGAAATTTATTCCATAAACATTCAGTTATAAAACGTAGTGTATAGAATATTTATTTAAAAAAGAAGAAAATAAAACGATTGAATAAAGATGCAGCGCACTGCTTCATTTAATTTATCCAACTAGACAGTTTAGATGAGAAAGCAAAAGAAAAAAGTAAGAAACACACAGACATGCCTAAATTGGATCTTACATCACGGCTAGCAACAACAAAAATTTTCATTCTTTAGCGATCGAGCCACGATCCGGATGATTTGACAAGTTAAGGAATACACCAATGAGCAATTGTAACACATTATACGTCACAAATTGCCAGAAAATACATAAAATTTGAAAGAAAAATGACATGTTTACCTAATGACCATCAGTTTCACCTCATGTCTGCCATAATTGTAAATATGATCACATGGGGTGCATAGCGCATGATGTCACAGACAAGTATAGATGCAGCGCCGTTTTGCAGATCGATAGCGTTAACCCCTTTATTGACCGCGTTTTCTGCGAAGTCGCGATGCGAATCGCGATGACACCTACTTCCGGTCGGTCGGACCGGAAACTCTGAATGCGATACTGAAACTAAGACCGAAACCATGCTTTAGTTTCTTTCTCTCCCCCCTTTTTTATCAAAACTCGAATTCGAAACAAGCGACGAAAAGCACTAAAAACATTTTTATCCTATACGGAAGATAAATCGTTTGATGACATGCTGTGATATTTCTTTTTGATTTTCGCCACTTTTTGAAATAAATCATTCTTTTCTGTGATAAACAGCGAGCTGTGTTATTTTATATATCTTGTTTCAGTGTCATTTATTGGACTTAAGAGAAAATTGCTTTATATATGTTTTTTTTTCGATAACGCATTCCCTAAGTGTTTTATATACGATGAAAAGTTATTGTTCATAAAAATATTAGAAGCAAATAAAAGAAATTAAATATTATGTCTTATTCGTGCCATATAGTTGATTATTATTTAAGGGGGGGGAAAGTTTCATAAAATGTTTAAAATTAGATAAACGGAAAAAAACATGAGATAAAATCTCTGAAAATCATAAGTAAGCTAGAGCACATGAGGTAAGCAATAAAAATGAAAAGCATGAGTTATTAAATTCAGTATTTTAAAAGTTACTACTTAAGATAATTATTGCAATATTTGCAATTATTAATTATTACTACTTAGGAAAATTATTGCAATTGAAAAATACATTAAAAATTTAATTTAACGTATTTCAAGCTTTCAATATCAGCTATTCGTGAAAAAGTAGGTAATAAAAAGTTTAAGAAATGCTTTAAATTCAGATCGAACTGAAAGAGAGTGACTTATTAAATAAAGTGCATTCCTTATTATTAAAAATTCTTATCAAAAAAAAAAATTGAGAAACAAATAAACACGATGAAAAAAAAAACTTTAATGTTTCTGCCTAATAGCAGAAATTAATAAAAAGCAGACGTTAAGCAAATATACAAAAAATTTAGAACAAAAATTTAAATTCAAAATTTGATATAAGTAAACGACAGGAATTATTAAGGAAAGTTCATTGTTTATTATTACTTCGAATTTTAAAAAGAAATCGGAAAAAAATGATTACAATTATAAAACTGCTTTTTTAATATTTACGTTCTATGATGGATTGGTATAGCCATGTAAAAAAACAATAATAATAATAAAAAGTTTTATTTTCGAAACTACTTCAAATTCGTTATAACTTTAAGGCATGAGTTATAAAATAAAGTGGTTTAATTATTACTCTTTCTAATTTTAAAAATAAATCGGAAAGAAAGAAATGAAAATATAAATATGTGTTTTAATAATGTTTTATGATAGATTACTAGTTAACGAAAAGCAAATATTAAAAAGTTTCATTTACAAATATATTTTAAGTTTAAAATTTGTTAAAACTGAAAAGAATGAGTAAGTGTTTTACTTATTTCAACTAGTTATTATTTAAAAAGAAGTCAGTAGCAAACAAATTCATCTCATATTAATGCTTTTTAGTGGATTGCAATTTGAGGAAAAGCAAAAAATGAAAAGTTTTTAAAATTTAAAAATGGAAACCTAATTGAAATAAAAAAGATATATATAATGTTTCATTTCTTATTAAAAGTTACTATTTGAAAAATGAAATCTGAATAAAATAAGTTAAATTAAAAAAAAAATGCATTAATATTTATTCTTGATTTTGGATTGCTATTTGCGGAATTTCAGATAATATTGTTTGTATTTGTGTCTATGTTTTAATTTTAAAATGAAATAGAATTGAAAAGAATGAGCTATTAAATAAAATTTTTATATTTTATAAAAAAAGTAATTTTTTTAAGAAATCAAAAGCAAATAAATACTTTTAAAAAATGCATTAATATTTATGCTTGATAAAAGATTGCTATTTGACGAAAAGCAAGCAATAAAAAGTTTAAGAAAATGTTAAAAATTTATAGTTATACAAATCCGAAAAGAATGAGTTAAAAAATGAAGAAAAAATAATAATAAATTAATAAATAAAAATGTAAGAAATATCGATATATCTTTTTATATTCGTTTAAAATTTATTTCAGGCTGAGTTTGAAAAAAAAAGAAGGAAGAAAAAGCTTTTGAAAAAGTCTTCTATTTGTCTGCAATTGGATACCTGCAAGTGACGTCATGCTTGAGCAAATCGTGACATTATGCAACCAATTAGATTCGATACACACACTTGTGAGGTCGGTTACAGGTATCTCATAAATCTGATCTGAAAATTAATTCAGCGTGATAATAAAACAAGCCCAATAGCTGTAACGTTAACACGCCATGCACAACCATGTGATTATGCATAATCATGTGATTTCAGCTGTCTTCTTCTTCTCCATTTACAAGTATCCAATTATTAACTGCGCTTTTTCTAAGTAAAATGTGTAGGTTTTATGCAAAATTTACAGAATTGTTTTGTATTGAACTATAAAAATTAAAACTAGTGCACTGACAAAATTTTATTCTATAGACAAAAATATTTTTTAAATATAATTAAATTATTCAAAAAGTTTTCGCTGAAAAAATAAGGTGTCTTTATTTTTCTCTTCAATGCGGAAATTTAACTTCAACCGAACGGATGTGACGCATATAAGCGGACATCCGGGTATTTTCTGAGATTTATTAATTCATTCCACTTCATTGTTTACAAAAAAATATATTACAATAACATCTTTATTTTTTTTTAAAATGTTAAAATCATGCAGACATTTTTTACTCAGAGTAATCAATCATTTAAAAATGAATAAAAACCAGTTTAAAAGCAAAATTGGCAGCACACTGAACAAATTTAAAATGTATTGTACTTTAAATATTCAATGGCTGCTTATATAACTAAAATCAAAATAACGAAAACAAAAAACGAAATTTTTATTTGAAATTGTAGGATTCATAGAAAGAATGATTTTGTTTTTAACTATAAAAGAACTGAAAAGAAATATTCGCTGTTATTTTTATTATGAATAAACAACTTCAGAGCGAATTTCGGAGAAAAAATTTTTTTTTCCATACTTTCAAAATATTTTCCATGATTAATAGAGTGAAATTCTTACGATTGAAAGACACGGTAGTTATTGAATTGGTAAACTCAAATGGGAAATGGGCCTTTTAAAAGCTTAAACGCGTATTTTTTCAACGTTTAAACGCGTATATTTTAGTATGTTGAACAGTCAGCTAAAATAAAAATTATTTTTAAAAGAGACATTTGTTTATTCTACATAAAATGAGAATTTTGTACATCACATTTTCATGTTTTTTTTTTTAAATTTTTAAATTTTATTACTGTTTGGTATGTTTTTTTAAACATCAATTGTATAAACAGCAAAAAAAAAAATTTAAAAAAATTAATAAAAATTAAGTTTACTTTGATGTGAGTGAGAGGGAATCGTTCTTTTGCATTAAAAATAAATTAAAACAGAAACATTTTCGTGATTTAGCAAGCAATATGTAAAACATCAAAGCATGTAACTTACCACTAAAAACTTTTTCTCGAAATTTACAATTTCAAGTCAATAAAAGAAAAATGTGGTAGTTAGATAGAAAATTATTTTAATCTTTCAGAATAAACGTAAAAATTCTTCATTTGAGATCAGAAACGTAGATTTTTTTAAAGCATAAATTTCAGTTCTAACTTCAATAATGTTAAGTTTAGAGCGTAAAATAATGTAAAAAATAGCGTATAAACTATATCTTTTAGGTTCTTCTGAATCTCCATGAAAACCTTAATCTATCTCAAAATTTTCATGAAAACCGCAATCCATCCCAGAATAGAATCTACATCAAAACCTAAATGAATCTTGGAATCTGTATGAAAACCTTAATCCCTCCCAGAATCTACACCAAAACCTAAATGCATCTTGGAATCTGTATGAAAACCTTATTCCATCGCGGAATCTACACCAAAACCTTAAGCCTTTCCAGAATCTACATGAAAACCTAGATCCATCCAGGAATCAACATGAAACCTTAATGCATCCCAGAATCTGCATGAAAACCTTAATCCATCTCAAAATCGTCATGAAAACCTTAATCTTATCCACTTAATAACTTTAACTTAAGATTAGTTTGCAAATTAAGTTGATTCATGAAATTGTTTCATTGTTTACGCATTACGTTTATTTTTTATTACGCANTAAGCCTTTCCAGAATCTACATGAAAACCTAGATCCATCCAGGAATCAACATGAAACCTTAATGCATCCCAGAATCTACATCAAAACCTAAATGAATCTTGGAATCTGTATGAAAACCTTAATCCCTCCCAGAATCTACATCAAAACCTAAAAGAATCTTGGAATCTGTATGAAAATTTTATTCCATCGCGGAATCTACACCAAAACCTTAAGCCTTTC